CCCCAAAACCCCAAAACCCCAAAACCCCAAAACCCCAAAAATATTAATAACATTGATTTCAAAATGGATAGGCTCAAAGGAATCTGAGTTGACAGGAAAGTTGAACTTGGCATGAAGAACGCCGTTGATAAAATCGCTAGATCAGAGGAATTTTATAAGAAAAGAGTTGAGATTAAAGAAGCTAATAAGAAGAACAAGATTCTCAAGTATTTACGCCAGAAAACTATTGAGAAGGAAAATGACCAAAGGAAAAAGAAAGCAACAAATGAAGTTTCTGGGGATGACTCCAAGCATATATCAGGGATCGATAATGCTAACATTGAGACTCTAGAGGATAATGAGCGTAGAGACCAGAACGTTCATAACTCTCTTTATCAGGAACGTCGGAAATTTAGGTATTATTACAATGTCCTCAGTATTTTTGTACAAGGGTTGATCAGCCTCTTTGCTATTTTCGTGTTCTTTTACTCACTTTATGTCAAGGAGGACTCAAGCCCGATATCTCAGAAGGACAACTTATACATTATGGAGGTGATCATATCATTCCTGATTCTTGGTGACCTTTTAAACTCATTAATTTTGAAAAAGGAGAAATGGAAGTTCTTTAAGAGTATCATTAACTGGACGGATTTTGGAACATCAGTTCCTATTATAATAACCTTCATGATCAATAGGGAGTCTACTTATTACAGTAATTTGTTCTATAACTTTTGGCAAGTGTGGCGCAATCTCAGGTTTTTCAGAATTTACAAAATTGTCCAGAAAATTGGAAATATTAATGATTTTAAATATTTAGCGAGTATTTCCTTGGCAAATGACAAGGAGATCAAGTTCAGATTTGCTAATATTATCTTCCATATTTTGTCATTTGTTATCTTGTCTGCCAGCCTGATGATGACATTTCAAGAGCTGGCGATAGAGGTATTCGAAATAGGGATCACCTACGAAACAGACTTTACCTTTGATGCAGCCTTGTATTATGTTATCATCACTATTACAACAGTTGGGTATGGAGATATGTCTCCTAAGACATCATTCGCTAGGATTATTATTTGCTTTTTCTTTATTATAGCGATTATTTTCATAACCAAGCAGACCTCTGAGTTATCAGACCTGCTGAATCAGAACAACCTGGCTTATAGGATGGCAGTCAAGGGTAAAGGAGTCAAGCATGTGATTTTGACAAGCTCCTCGCTGAACTTGCTGAAGCTGTTTAGGTTTGTCAGAGAGTTCTTTCACAAGGACCATGATATCCAGGAGAGTATCAAAGCAGTTATTATATGCAATACAGCTCCCAATTATGACATGATCCAGGCTCTTTCTGACTTTGAAGATAATATTCATTTTATAGTTGGCTCTATCTTTGAAAAGGACACTTTGGTTAAAGCCGATGTTGCTCATGCCAAGGCTGCCTTTATTATATCGAACCAGTATGATGATTCAAGCATGAAATGAGATACATACGCACTTATGGCTACTAAAGTTCTGAGGCTCCATAACCGGAATCTTAAGATTAACGTTCAGCTAGTGAAGAAGGACAACCTGATCCATTCTTGGTGCAATTGGGACAATGTTTACTCCTTGGATGAGTTTAAGATGGGGATTCTGGCTGCTAATGCATTCAATCCAGGTTTTTGCCCATTTGTGCTAAATCTTCTGTCAAGTTTTGGGAAGCTCCAGAATGCATCCAAGAACATGTTGTGGCTGACTGAGTATGCCCACGGGCTTGAATATGAGATTTATTGCATCAAAATCCCCAATAGCTACCTGACTTGACCATTCGCTTTCTTGGTAAGAATGGGGTACTTCGGGAATGGATCTCTAATAATCGGCATCAGGAGACGTAAACCTGGTTGCAAGTTTGAACTTTATGATATCATGATAAATCCTATAAATTATGAGATCAGGAACGATGACGAGGCTATTATCATTGCTACAGACTTCAACCATGCTCAAAGATTCGAGGATAAGAGCAATAAGACAGAGACACAGATTGAAGAGATCAAGCTTAGAAATGGCCTTGAATTTATACGGAATTACGACTACGATGTTAAATCACGCAGAAATCGGGACAACTCAAACTTTAGAGATAACAGTAATTGTATTGAGAGTGAGAAAATTATTGAAAAATTTTCAGATTTCCTGGAAGAAACTACAATGATGAGAGACCACATCATCGTGTTTGGGCCACTGGAGTCATTCTCTTCACTGGTTGAATGACTCCGGCACTTTACTTATAATTATATATGCTATGTGAGCGATATTCCTAAGCCTGAGAAATGGAGCCATATAGAATCAAAATACCAGAATGTTAAGTACATCGAATGTGTGTACTCAGATAAAAATGAATTGCAAAGAACAGGAATCGAGCATGCGAGACATGTCATTCTTCTCTCATGGATGCTTGAGAAGTCAAATCATCCAGATTCAGGAATATTACAGATCATTCAAATGATTGAGCAGTATTACCCTAATGTTCCGTACACAATAGAGCTTGAAGATGAGAATAATTTGAAGTATATGTCTAAGGCCTCTGAGGCTAATAAGCTGCCACTGAATTGTAACAGTAAATACGCTGCTGGGAAAGTGCTGTATAGCTCAACATTAGATTCAATCATTGCTCAATCCTACTATAATGACACACTGCTTGAGGTACTGGATAAGCTAATCTTTGGAGACAGTGATACTAATGAGACTAAGATAGAGGAAAATTCACGGCTGAACATGATCAGGATCACTGAAGAAATTGGAGGAATGGCCACTTACGAGAACTTCTTCTACACTTGTACCCAGATGTCTCAGGATTCGAAGAACAACAACAAGCCTGTGATTCCTATTGCCATCTATCGGGCTCCAAATAAGAGCATTTTGGGGAATGAAGCACCGTACATGATCACTAATCCTGAGAAAGGCACCCTACTGCTGACAGGGGACATCGTCTTCGTACTGGGAGATGTGGAACACAACATAGAGAAACGGAACGAAGAGCTTCGTAAAGGAGTCCTTAAAGGAGACCTTAGCATCGGTGAAGGCATAAAATACCAAACTATGGAGCTGACGAAAGAGAAACTCGAACAACTTGACGATGACAAGATCCTTAAAATCGTCCAACAAGAGCTTGCTGGAACTGAGAAAGAGAGAAAAAGAGCCAAATACAAGGCGAAAAAAGAGCAAGCCAAACAGCAAAGAAGCCCTAAAGATTTAGAGATTGTTTCTGAAGAAGACAAGGAGAAGTTTCATGAGACCCAAAAAGAGATACGTAAGGAAGTCAAACGAGGAGTCAGCGATATCGCAAAGATCCTCGCTTTAGATAAGAAAGCGTCAAGCTACAAGCGTCCTAAGGAAGAAAGAAAGGAGACTCCTCGCTCAGTCTCCTCTTCGGAGAGAAGCTTTAAAGATCAGCAATACTCTGGCGATGAAAGTAGCCAGACTGATGGCAAAAAGCTTGACAAGTTCGAGGCAGATCCTGAAGAGACCAAGGTAGCAAAGAATAATGCTGAAGTGAGTTCTGCTGCTCCCAGCACTGTGAAACAAAATTATCATATGACTAAAGCTGTGAAAGAGTGCGAACAAGAGCCTAAAATAGTGGCAAAGGAAGCTTCTCCTGAAAGACATGTTGAGCCTTCAGTGAGTATTCATGATGAGAATGGTGCCTCGCAAGCTCAGGAACAAGCTAAAAGAGATGGTGAATTTTCAAGGGAAGAGGAGTCTGATGAAGACGACTTCATTATCAAGCCAAGTAGGAAAGTGTTTTAAAGGTAGAATTTGAATTTCTGTTTTATTTAAATCTTAACTTTATGTACTTAATTTTAAGGGGTTTTGGGGTTTTGGGGTTTTGGGGTTTTGGGGTTTTGGGGTTTTGGGG